TGATTTATGCATTGGATGCAATTTGTTACAGCCCAAGGACGAATCCTATTGAAATTGTTGTAAATTGGTTTAGATATATATAGCTCAAAAAAACTGATGGACAAAATTAAAGCAACTGAAATTGTTAACTGAATAAATGACATGTAACTTTTTTTAAATAAAAATATAGTAACTTTTTTTCAAAAATAAATAGGTAATTTATTCGCTTTTAAAAAGCAAAAAATTGATGCGCAAAATTTATTTGGAAATAAAAAACCAGTAAGGAAAGTTGTAAAGTCGGACGGGGCCGACTATATGATACCATTCACCACTTTGGACATTTTTTAAGGACCATTAACATGAAATTAAACATGTCATTTTGCAACCTATACTAAATATATGGGAGCTACATCTAAATCTGAACCGAATTTCATGAAATTTAAAACACATCGTTCTAGACTTAATTCAGAACGCAATGCCATCGTTCGAAGGATATATACTTTGGTGCACCTTACATTCAGAATATATATTTGGCAGCTGATTTTGAAATTTAACACACATATTTCCCAGTACGCTGTGCCCAATTTCGTGCAAATCGAAGGATGCACTATTTACCTAAAATCGGACGAAAATATATACAGGAGCTATATCTAAATGTGAACCGATTTTCACGAAATTCAACACACATCTTTCTAGCTTTAATTCAGAATGCTATGCCAAATTTCGAGGAAATCGAAGGATATATAGGGACTTTGGTGCACTATTTACCTAAAATCGGACGAAAATATATATGAAAGCTATATCTAAATCTTAACCGATTTTCACGAAATTTAACACACATCGTTCTAGACTTAATTCAGTACGCTGTGCCAAATTTCGTGCAAATCGATGGATATATAGGGACTTTGGTGCACCATTTTCCTAAAATCGGACAAAAATATTTATGGGAGCTATATCTAAATCTGAACCGATTTTCACGAAATTTTACACACGTCGTTCTAGACTTAATTCAGTACGCTGTGCCAAATTTCGTGCAAATCGAAGGATTTAGTGCACCATTTACTTTAGTGCACCATTTACATTAAATCGGACGAAAATATATATAGGAGCTATATCTAAATCTGAACCGATTTTTCCCAATTTCAATAGGATTTAGTGAACTGTGCCAAATTTCATCCAAATCGGATCACAAATGCGACCTGTACTTTGTTAACAAAAATACATGGATGGACGGACATACGGACGGACGAACAGACGGACATGGACATGCATAAATCTGTTACAAACATTAAAAATTGCATTCTTATAAATAAAAGCTATGAACAAACAAAATTTTGCGAAAATATATACAAGACCCATATCAAGATCTGAACCGATTTCAACAAATCTTATCACAAATCATTTTTTACTCAATTGCATTCGCTATGCAAAATTTTGCTCAATCGGGCAAATATTGGGAGTTTGGTTTATCATTCACAAAAAATCGGACGAAACTATATATGGGAGCTATATCTAAATCTTAACCTACAAGGCACTGAATCAATATAATGCTCAACATAATCCTTGATTAAACATTTTGGGGAGAGGCTATATCTGTTTGTCTGTGGAAGTCTTTTGATTTTGCTATCTACGATACTCCAAAGATTTTTCTATAGGGTAAAGATCTGATGATTGTGTTGGCCATTATAAAGCCCTGATTTTTAACTTCCGCAAACAATTTTGACATATTTTGGTGTATGTTTGTCGGTTTTTGTCATGCTCAGCGAAGAGAACCATAGCATTTTCGAACACATTTCTATAAACAATCCGATCCATTACCTAATAAATCTCATAAATATATCGAACTTCATAAAAAGAAAACAAAACATAACAGCATGCTTCCCAGTACCCTTGCAATACTGTGGCATGAGTCTTTCATTTTTGGATTTTCTCGCGGTAATTTTTTTATGTCTGAGTCTTTAATTTTTAACTTTAATTCATCCGACAGCAAATAATTTCTCCACTGAGTGGAATTTCAATTAGTATGAGCTTTGCTTTCCGATTCCTTTCAGATATAAAGGAGCTTTTTTGATAGTATTCCGATATGTCGGATATCCGAATACTATCTATACTATCGTCCACGCACCGTTTTCATCGGTATTTCATTTCTTTTCTCGAGGAAAATGGTATTTTCGAATTGGATCTGCCGAACACAAGTACCTTTTTGTGCCCTTCACCACACTGTGGTGCAGGGTATTATGTCTTTGTGCATATGTTTGTAACAGGCAAAAGGAAACGAGATAGGTTCCATTGTGTCAAATATAATCACTTTGAGTCGATATATACATGTCCGTCTGTCCGTCCGATTTTATGTAAATGGAGCCCCATACTTCCAATGCTTGTCCAATTGAGACAAAATTTTGCATAGCAGGTTGACATCCGTGAAGTTTTTTTTTTATATAGGTTCAGATTTAAATATAACTCCCATATATATTTTCGTCCAATGTTTTGTAAATAGTGCATCGAGGGAGCTATGTATGTTCTATATTTAACAGCGAGTGTTAAAGTTAGTCTAGAATACTTCTTTTTATACCCTTCACCACACTGTGGTACAGGGTATTATGTCTTTGTGCATATGTTTGTAACAGGCAAAAGGAAACGAGATAGACCCATGGTTCCTTTTGAGAATATGCATAGAATCACTTTTTAAGTCGATTTATGCATGTCCGTCCGTCAGTCTGTCTGTCCATGTATTTTTGTGAGCAAAGTACAGGTCGCATTTATGATCCGAATTGGATGAAATTCGACACAGCTCATTTGTTTGGCCCAAGGACGAACCCTATTGAAATTGGGAAAAATCGGTTCAGATTTAGATATAGCTCCCATATATATTTTCGTCCGATTTAATGTAAATGGTGTACCAAAGTTCCTATATATCTTTCGATTTGCACGAAATTTGGTATAACGTACTGAATTGGGCCTAGAGTGATGTCTGCCAAATTTCGTGAAAATCGGTCCAGATTTAGATATAGCTCCCATATATAGTTTCGTCCGATTTCATGTAAATGGTGCACTAAAATCCATATATATCGTTCGATTTGCACGAAATTTGGCATAACGTACTGAATTGAGCCTAGAATGATGTCTGCCAAGTTTCGAGAAAATCGGTCCAGATTTAGATATAGCTCCCATATATAGTTGCGTCCGATTTCATGTAAATTGTGCACCAAAGTCCCTATCTATCTTTTGATTTACACGAAATTTGGCATAAGGTACTGAATTGAGCCTAGATTGATGTCTGCCAAGTTTCTTGAATATCGGTCCAGATTTAGATCTAGCTCCCATATATAGTTTCGTCCGATTTCATGTAAATGGTGCACCAAAGTCCCTATATATCATTCGATTTGCACGAAATTTGGCATAACGTACTGAATTGAGCCTAGAATGATGTCTACTATGTTTCGTGAAAATTGGTCCAGATTGAGATATAGCTCCCATATATAGTTTCGTCCGATTTCATGTAAAAAGTGCGCCAAAGTCCCTATATAGCGTTCTGAATTGATGCTGGAATGATGTGTGCTGAGTTTCGTGAAAATCGATTCAGATCTAGATATATATATTTTCGTCCGATTTAATCTAAATAATGTACCAAGTTCTTATGTTGCATAGCGTTTTGAATTTAATCCAGAATGATGTGTGCCAAGTTTAGTGAAAATCGGTTGAGATTTTGATATAGCTCCCTTATATTATAGATTGATTTTAAGTAATTGACACATTTAGATAAATATCAAATATTTTATTTCATACAATTTCATGATAATAGTCCTGGTTAATATACCCATAGTGGTGAAGGGTATCATATAGTCGGCCCCGTCCGACTTTACTATTTTCCTTACTGGTTAAATTTGAAATCGGTTCAGATTTAAATATAGCTCACATATATACTTTAGTCCCATTTTATGTAAATGGTGCACCATATATGCTGTTCTCTTTCCACGATATTTTGTTGTTGAAATGGGTTTCGATGTAGATGCAGCTCCCATTTATATTTTTGTCCGGTTATGCAAATGGAGGAGCCTATGTCTGTTCAATTAACATGGAATATTGGATAGCGTATTAAATTGTAATCTATAATAACGCATATTTCAGAATGGTATGTGTATGGGTTGTTTTAATTTAGTTCAAAAATCTATGTACTACACACAATTAATTTCGCCGGATTCAATTTCGTATTTAAGATCCGATTTGGATGAAATTTGGCACAGTTCACTTATTTGGCCCAAGGACGAACCCTATTGAAATTGGAGAAAATCGGTTCAGATTTAGATATAGATCCCATATATAGTTCGTCCGATTTTATGTAAATGATGCACCAAACTCCCAATATTTGTCCGATTGGGACAAAATTTTGCACAGAGTACTTAATTAGGTCCAAACTGATGTCTGCTAAGTTTTGTTGGAATCGGTTCAGATTTAGATATAGCTCCCATATGTAGTTTCGTCCGATTTTATGTGAATTATGCACCAAATTCCCAATATTTGTCCGAGGGTATTAGATTGAATATAGAGTGATAAAAAACTAATGGTGCATGCAACGGTTGCTCAATTAGGTCCATGTTTTTATATATAGCTCCCATACATAATTTTACTCGATAAAAAAAAATCCAAGTCTGCCCGTTTGACATGCAATTTTTAATGATTTCAGAATGGTATGTGTATGGGATTTTTTCAATTGGTTCAAATATCTATCTAGATAGTTTCGCCCGATTCCATCTTAATGGTCCTTCAAAGACTCTATGTCCGTTCTATCTACAGGATACTGTAGATATTAACATCTCCTGTATGTACTCAAAATGGTGAAGGGTATCATATAGTCGGCCCCGTCCGACTTTTGAACTTTCCTTACTGGTTTTTACTTGTTGTAATGACATTTGTGTGTAGAGTTTTATGTCAAAATAATTTAATTTGATTTTTCTCACTCATAAAATAATATCCAAATATAATTTTCTTCTTCCAAATAAAACAAGATATTTAAAAAAAATATGGATATAAAACTACGCAGTTCCACAAAAACCACAAAGACTCCTCAATTGGGGGAAAAGAAGAAAACAGCGGTAATTAATGACAATTCTATACATTTTTATATAATCTGAAATCTGAATTTCATTAGGAAAAGGATACAAAATATTCGGATAAGGAGAACAAATGCATTGCCGATATGAAAAAACTTTATTTGGATACCATAAAATTAGATGTGGACCTACAGCACGGTATATATAATTTGGAGAAATCATTTGAAAGTAAACATGATGAGATTTACGATAAACGTTTGCAACTGTTGGAGTGAGTTCATGGAATGATGATGTTCTACATTTTGGAAATTGGTTCGATTTATTCATATTTTCTATCTAATAGAGATTTCAAAAAACGTAATCATGGTGGTGATCCCAGTGAAATGGGTAATATCAATAATTTTTGGCTAAAAGTCCTCAAGGCATCATATACTGAATTCATAAGTAAGCGGGATGAGAAAATATTGGTGGTAATTGTGATATGGAAATCCTTAATTTTGTGGGGATATTGAAAATAAGTTCTTGTTGTTTTCAGTTCCTCACCGATATCCGATCGAAACTTTATAATGAACCCACAATTAAATTTGTTATTGAATTTTATTTTGAACCTAACGACTATTTCACCAATCGCATTTTAACGAAAACCTATTTTCTCAATTGTTTACCGGATCCGGATGATCCCTATGCATATGATGGAGCGGAAATTTATAAATGCGAGGGATGTAAAATCGATTGGAAAAATCCGGAAAAGGAAAAAGAGAAGAAATGTGAGTTTGTTGATATTTGAAGAGGTTTTTATTGAAATTATTATTTGAATGCTGTTGTTTGGCAGCATTTACATCATTTTTTGATTTCTTCGAGCCACCCACATTACCGGATAATCAAAATGATCCCACCTATGCTGATATTAATGTAAGTAATTTAATTTTGAAATTTATTGTCAAAAAGTAGCACAACCCTACAGCCTTCGTACCATGCGAACAAAAGTATCGAGTTCTCGAAACCATATTTTATCTCTCCTAAAATTGCACCCCTAAATCACCAATTATCGGCATTTTACTATATATACAAAACTTCGCTATATATACAAAACTTCTATTTCATAGGCAATTTTACAAAACGACTTCGAATTGGGTTTCTACTTGAAAGAACGTGTCATTCCCAAAGCAATTCTTTTCTTTACCGGTGAAATCGCTGATTGCATAAGTTCAGATTCGGAAAGCGAATCAGAAAACGATAATGATGACGACGATGATGATGACGAAACCAAGGAGGATGCTTTGGGAAGTATGGCTGCTGCAAAGAAATAAATTTATGTTTTGTCATTAGTTTTTTTTTTCTTTTTTGGTTTTTTATTGGATTTGCTCATATTTTAGGATATTTGAAATAAATCTTGGTTCTTGTATTTTAATGTTACAAAATATAAATTTTTTAATTTACTTCATAAGTTAAAACCCAGTAAGGAAAGTCCAAAAGTCGGACACGATCGACTATGTGATACCCTTCACCACTTTGGGTACATACAAGATATATATATATATATATGCATACAGCATCCTTGGAGGACCATTGACATGAAATTGGACAAAATAAAACATGTGATCTGCAAAGATATACACTGGTGGCCAAAACTAATACAACTGAAATTGCAAGGATAATAAATGCCGCTTAACATTTTCAAAAAATATGGATATTGTTTTATTTTTTCAGTTTTAAATCGGGTACTTTATTCAATTAAAAAAAAATTAATGCAAAATTCATTATGAAATAAATAATTTATAGATAAGGGAATTGTCTCAATTTTTGCCTGGCTCAAACTAAAGCAACCTTACAGTACAAACAGATGAGCTCTAAAATTTGTATACACATATTTTGATCCTTATAGATCATTTTTATATATTTTATAATAATACATACAAAAACATGTGTCTGTTTTGTAATATTGATATCCTGTAGATAGAATAGACATAGCATCTTTGGAGGACCATTGAAATGGAATCGGACGAAATTTACGGTGTGAAGTACATAGATATTTGATGAAAAATTAAATGTCAATAATTTTTTCATACAAATTTTTCGAGCAAAATATTTATGAAAGCTATATAAAAATGGACGTATTTGAGCAACCATGGTATCCACCATTTGCTATGCTGCAATGCGCTATCCAAAATTTATCTCGACACAAATTCTAGGTTCCATTTAGTACGTTTCCCACTAATTCGTTCTAATCGGACTAACATTAATTAGTAGGTACACCATTTAGATGAAATCGGATGATAATATATATGGAAACTATAAACCTGAAACGACTTCAATACAATACGCTATGTATTATTTCATGTAAAGCGAACAGACATAAGCTCCTCCACTTGGATTATTAGCATAAAATCGGAGCTATATCTACATCTGAACAGATTTGAACAACAAAATATCGTGCAAAAAGAACAGGATCTACGGTGCACAATTTACATGAAATGGAACGTAAGTATACATTTGAGCTATATTTAAATCTAAACCAATTTTAAACTTAACAAAAAACATTCTAGACTAAATTCCATACCCTCTGTTAAATTTCGTGAATATAGAACAAACATAGCCTCCTCGGTGCTCCATTTACATAGAATCGGACGAAACTATATTGTGATCGATTTCAACAAAACTTTGCATACATCAATCAAGACCTAATTCAGAAGGATATGTTCAATCTGACAAATGTTGTGAGTATGGTGCTCCATTTACATAAAATCGGACGACACTATATATGGGAGCTATATCTAAATTTGAACAGATTCCCACAAAACTTTGGATACATCAATCTGGGCCTAATTCAGTAGACTGTATAAAATTTTGCCTCAATTGGACAAATATTGGTAGTATGGCCCTCCATTTACATAAAATCGGACGACACTATATATGGAAGCTATATCCAAATCTGAACCGATTTCAACAAAACTTCAAACTGGACTAAATTCATTACGGTATGCTAAATCTTTACTCATTCGGACTAACATTGGGAGTTTGGTGCACCATTTACATAAAATCGGACGAAACTATATATATGAGCTATATCTAAATCTGAACAGATTCCAACCAAACTTTGCATACATCAATTAGGATCTTATTCAGTACTCAGTGCAAAATGTTGTCTTAATAGGACAAATATTGTGAGTTTGTTGCAGCATTTACCTAAAATCGGACGAAACTATATATGGGAGCTATATCTACATCTGAATCGATTCCAACAAAACATTGCATACATCAATTAGAACCTAATTTAATACTCTGTGTAAAATCGGAACCGGGTTTCTCCAATTTCATTAGGGTTCGTCCTTGGGCCAAATAAATGACTTTTGACAAATGTCATCCAAATCGGATCATAAATGCGACCTGTATTTTGCTCACAAAAATTTACGGACGGACGAACAGACGGACATTCATAAATCGACTCAGAAAGTGATTCTATGCATATTCTCATAAAGAACCATGGGTCTATCTCGATTCCTTTTGCCTGTTACAAACATATGTACAAAGACATAATACCCTGTACGACCGTGAAGGGTATAAGAAAACATGTAAAAAAGTGTCAGTAGGTGTTGCCGAGGAGGTCTTCGGAGGTTTAAACAGGTTTTATTCCTTTAACCCTACGGTCAATAACCGGGTACATTTGTACCTTTTTTCGAATAAAAATCCTGTAAAACTTTTAATAATGGAGATATTTGGATCAAATTTTGAGGTATTTTCACACATAATCGAAGAAAAAAATTATAAATATTTTCCATATATATAATTTTTACAACTTTTTAATATTATTACCTACGTAGATCAATAACCGTGGTACATTTGTACCCATCCAAATATAGCTCTGTAACTCATTAAATAATTGGACTATCGTGAAGTTTTTTGGTTTTAAATTAGTGTATACGGATCTGATCTAGATGTAGGAACTCAAAATTATATTTACATTAAAATAATATATTTAAACCCATGCTTAAATGATAGTATATTTAAAACAATCATAGCAAATCCGTTATAGCTTTCGAATGGGTTAAGCTTTTTTAGTTATTTTTTTATTGGGATCTTATTTAGGTGTTCCTCAACCCCTCTGCAAATTTTTCTGGCCCTAGACAACATGGGACCATCAGGGCGACTCGTGAAAGTCAGAAACTACCCTGGTTTTCCCTTGGTATACAGGGACAAAAACAATGATTATTGTCCGTAATTTTCCAATTACTCTTTCTATTGGGCCTGAAACTTTTCTATAATCGAATTAGTCTGATTTATTACAATCCTAAATTGGCGTACATATATAAACTATAATTAAATAACGTTTTAAAGTATTAAATAATGTTAAAAATGCGCCAATCACAATCTCTAAACTCATAAAATGTGAATAATTGGCAATAATAATTGTTTTAGTCAATGTATACCAAAGGAAAACCAAGGTAGTTTCTGATTTCCACGTGTCGCCCTGATCGCCCCATGTTGCCTAGGGCCACAAAAATTTGCAGAGGGGTTGAGGAACACCTAAATAAGATCCCAATAAAAAGATAACTAAAAAAGCTTAACCCATTCGAAAGCTATAACGGCTATTATTTGTGAGAACAAATCAAAAAGTTGCTTTAGTTTTGACCATGTTTTGTTTTTTTAGTGAATAAATTACCTGTTTATACTCTCACCACACTGTGGTACAGGGTATTATGTCTTTGTGCATATGTTTGTAACAGGCAAAAGGAAACGAGATAGACATATGGTTTCTTTTAAGAATAAGCATAGAATCAATTTTTAAGTCGATTTATGCATGTCCTTCCGTCCGTCTGTCTGTCCATGTTAAATAGTAAACAAAGTACAGGTCGCATTTATGATCCTAATTGAATGAATTTTGGCATGGGTCACTTATTTGGCCCAAGGACGAACCCTATTGAAATTGGGAAAGATCGGTTCAGATTTAGAAATAGCTCCCATATATATTTTCGTCCGATGTAAAATATGTAAGTTGTTTACCAAAGTCCCAGTCCCTATATATCTTTAGATTTAGATATCTAGAATGATGTGTGCTAAGTTTCGTGAAAATTGGTACAGATTTTTTCTTCCGAGTTTACGTAAATTGTACACTAAAGACCCAAAGCTTGTCCGATTGCCACACAATTTTGTACAATGAACTGTAGTTAATATAAGTTAATCTCTGGCAAGTCTCGTTCATTCATCTGTTGAATATACCCAAAGTGGTAAAGGGTATCATATAGTCGGCCCCGTCCGACTTTACTACTTTCCATGCTGGTTTTTTCTATAAAAATCACTATAAGTTTGTTTATAAAAAAGTTACAGGTCATTTATTCTGTTTGCAATATCAGCTGCTTTCGTTTTGGCCACCACTTCTTGTTCCTTTGGAATAAGAGCTATATCTAAATCTGAACAGATTTCAATAAACTTTACATCCTTTATTCTGGACACAATTCAATACACTGTTCCCAAACAAAAAGAACCCAAATATCGTTAGCTAAAATGCAAAAAGGCGTAACTAACAAAAGGATAATTGTGTAGGAGAAGCAAAAAACTGTTTTGAATGAAAACTATAAACATGTCATGTGAAATGAAAAAGTATGCCCGGCAGGGTGATATTGCATATGACGAATAATAGACTATAATTTTTTTAACAAATTTAGTTATTTAGTTTAATGGCAGTCATAACAATTAAGTAAAAGTTGAATTTTTTGTTAGTTACGCCTTTTTGCATTTATCAAATAAACCTACTTGTAGTTACGTCTTTTTGTTTTTTGTTAATAGAAGCTCCTTTTTTGACCGCGAACGTGTAAAACTTTGTCAACACATGTAGTTTATTGACATTCACAATATTCATTCAAAAAGTCAATTTTCAATTTTTTTTGTTAGTTACACCTTTTTGCATTTTAGCTGACGATATGTAATGTTAAATCGAATCGATCAACACAAAGCTTTACAATGTTCTAATCACTCGTTGTTGAATTCAAAAAAAAAATAAATAAAATAAAATATGTATTTTTTGTAATATTTTATTTGTTTTGCATTATTATATTTCTCCTCCAATATATACAAAATAGTTATGTAAACGTTTCTATATAATTTTCTTTTGATTGAGATACTTTATTGTATTTTTTTATAGGAGAGAATACATAATTACAGACTACAAACTATTAAGACATTATAGATAAATTAAAAGAACAAATAAAATATTGAGATATATATTTATATAGTTGACACACAGAGGGAAGCAACGAACATATGTATATGTATGTCAGGCTCCGAAATAAGTTATTACATTCACTAAAATATTCCATTTGCGATTTTTTTCTTTCTGTAGTGTTGTCCGTCACAAGAACAAACGATTTCATGAAAATCACAGTGAGTTTGTTTGTGAGGGGATACAAATATTTCCAGCCAATCGACACTGCCGTCGCCGTTGCTACTTCGTATATTCTTAATAATGCTAAACTACATTGTTGTAATGTATGACGAGGATAGTGAAATATTCAATTACATTTTGCTTGTTTGCTTGCTAGTTAGACAGAAAGAGTCTGAAATGAAATAGTAATAATTAAAATTACAATTAATACAAATGTGCATAACTTTTGTGGTTTTTGAAGTGAGGTAAATTGTGGAAATAAATTAATCATAAGAACTCAAAAGAAGCGAGTTTAATGATTAATTGAAATGAGTAACATAAAATATAATTTTTTTACTTATGATACTTTCTGTATAAATGAGCGTCATGACTCTTACCTCTCTATGCATTTGTTACAATTACATGTGAAAATATTGTAAATGCACGCACATCATCATCATCTTCTTCAACGCTACTTATATTGCCATTGCACTTTCAAAAATTTCAAAGAACGCTTACACCAGCCAAGTGTTCAGCCACCAATTTACATTCCGGTTTTAATTCCTTAAAACGTTTTATACCCTCCAGGGTCACACTAGTACCACTAACATCCAAAAATACCAGATTTGGCGAACACTGTACCAAATGTTGTAGTGACACATCGGTAACATATTTATAATCACGTACACTAAACCTCTCGAAACGATTCTCACTTGGACGATTATTAAAACGTATCCAAATAACACCATGATGTACAGGTTGACGTGTGCGACCAAAACAACATACACCACGATCCGATATACTACCACGTTGTATTGGACGTCGTGATAAATGATTGCCTGGCCCAAATTCCATTTCATATTCTTCACTAAGTAATCGATCCGGGCCACCACCACCTGTTACTCGTCCAAGAGGATTTATAATATCCCAAAAGAGATTATGTCTGATCATTTGTTCAAAGGCTGGAGGTGGTGATTGCTGTTGATTCTGCTGTTGCTGTTGTTGCTGGTTACCCCCCTGCTGTTGACCGGGCATTAGCAAATGCCGTATATTACTTCGATCTCCAAGATTAATGTGAAAAGCATTTGGCGATGTGCGATTGCGTAGATCAAGGCATATAATGTGATCTGGTCGTGGTAAAAATCTACTAAATGATGGAACATTACTGCTGACAATGGGTATAACATTTGACGAAGCATTGCTGGATACCGAAGATGCATTTGCATTTGTTTGGACGGTACTACTGGATGAATGATGATGACGATGATGGTACAACAGGCTCGTTATCACTTCCTGATGATGATGATGATGACGACGACGATGAAGATGATGTTGAAGGGGAATCATCTAGATTTTTGGCTGTACACGCTGATGCCTTTGATGATGTTGTGGGTTCTTGATCGTCTCTATTTGATTTACTTGGTGTTGTAGTTGTTCCATTGGCAGCTAAATTCCTATTTGTGGATGGCGATGCAGAAGATTGTGGTTTTTCATCCGTTTCTGGACACTGAAGATAAATTTCTTTAAGGGTTTCAACAGCATTGAAACACTGCAAATCGGAATCATTCAATGGTGTATTACTCAAATCAAGGACCTGAAATTAATAGAAATTTAATACACATTTTGGATGTTGTTATAGCACAAATTTTTTACCTCTAATTGTTTGAAACCATGACGTCCGGCTATACTTCCATATGGTATAAACTCTTGCATTTGACTACAACCTTTTAAACTTAAATATCTAAGTGCAGGTAACTTTGATATAGGCATCACATAATAGGGATCAAACCAATTATTCTTCTCTATCGCCAGCTCATCTAAACTAGTCAGAATTGTATCAATGCCAGTAAAAATGGATTTATTAGGATCAACGCGTACATGACAGTTACTTAGCACCAGTCGTTTCAGTGTCTTTGGAAAGTCATTGAATGTAAGCTGTAGAAGAAAACACAATTACAATATAAATTAAATTGTTAGGGCTAGCTCTGGACTGTTAATATACAAATCATATTCCTACTGTTTTTAAATTTGGACGTAGATTATCACGACAAAAGTGAATCGATTAACTTTAATCCTTGTAAGGCTATGAAGCACTGAGGATGGTTCAAAAACGGTTACACAGCATTGATTCTAGGCGTTATCAAATAATGATTTATTGTCACGGGATATAAATTCAGATAGAAGCATGCTTTTGTATATCTACCACCAGCATACATTCGATATTGTATGCAAATCTTGCCGTCAACAAGTTATGTTCCTATATACCTATGCGTATTAGCCTTAAACAAACCCGCAATCCACCTGTGGGTCCTCGAATAGGACCCAAATGCAAGGAAAGCTATGCGTGGATGAATCACTTCGAAGTAAATTGTCTCCTGTTTTATTGGGAAATCGAATAACGTGGCGACTGTTCCGTTTGGGAAACGGCGCATAAATCAAGCTACAGAATACTTTGAAAAACAAATCCATTTCTACGATAAAAATTCGCATTCCCAATATTAGTAGTCCTCTTATTTTGCCATCGATTTCTATTGTACAGTACAATTTCCTATTAGACGAAATATATACGTACGTACATCCGTCACTTACCAAATTAAAATCCAATGTCACTCCAAACAATTCCAATGTTAATAACTTGGTACATCGTGTAGTCATGGAATTGCGTAGCGTTTTATTGAAATGCTGTATTTCCCCCTCAATGTGCTGAGATGGTGAAGGTCCCCTCAATTTAATACTGCGTGTTTTCTCATGTGATCGCTCAAGCATATCCTCAAGAATGCCAAGAGGTAATGGTTCCTGACTCAGATCAATATCTTCCCATAGTCGTTTGTCCAATACGAATTTCTGGAAACGTTTGCTGACGCTACAAAGGAAAAACGAATCTTTATTTAATCACAGATACTCTATTAATATTAATAATACCCATTATGTTTACATACTTCATTAACGTCATCAACGACCAGGTATCCAGAAATTTAAAAATTTCATACAGCACCTCATCGCAAAAGTGTTCCAACGAAAATTGGTCTTCGTCATAGTAAGTTGTGGCACTACTATTGGTTGTAATCGTTGTTGCATCGCTATCCTCAATGTTTTCCCTTCCCTCACCATTTGTTGTCGGCTGTATTTCATTTTCTACGCTTTGTTGTTTGTCTTCGTTAGGTGTTGTCTTCTTATGCGGTGTTTGATCACCATCATCACCATCGTTTGACAATTGTGAACAACGACGTTTGCGTTTAATGCCATTTAAACAATTTATTGTTCGTGTTTCCATTACATTCAGAGTATCTTCCTGTTCCTCCCCTCGTTGGCAGGAATCCATTACAAATACTTTTGTGCTATATTATTATTTTCGTCTGTACAATACAAATCTACTTTACTTTATCAGAGTTTTTTTTTCCAACAATAGGGGATATGTCAGTCGATATACAAACTAATCGAATTATTTCAAAGCCACAGTATTAATCTTCAACGGCCAACCAAATATATCGAGATAACATATTAACATATAACGGCAAGGCCACACATTGAATTGTCTGTTAAAAACACAGATTTGTTGCAATTGAATGTTCAATAGAAGAAAGAAAAAAATGGTAGAATTCGTTTGGTAATATTTGAAAATAATTTTGAAGGCCTTTGAAACGCTGATTACGTCAATATACAGATACAAAGATTAATTGACTTTCAGAAGAAGCAGATCTCCTGGAGAGTGAAATAAATCTTCTTAATCGTTTTATATAATTTAAAATACATAATGGTGGTCAATAAAGGTTAATAAGGGCAAACGCATGGTAAAATTATACAAGGTTGGGTATCTTTTGTCAACCATTTGACATATTTTTAACATTTTACTAAAAATGCGAAAAATTAATGGAATGTCAGGTTTTTTAAATCGGGGTTTTTTTCAGATATTTATTCATTCATAAGTCATGAATTTCTTCCTACCAATGTTGTAAAATGCGTCTTTATACAAATAGATTTTAGAATATGACCAAAATTGTGATAAAAATTAATTCTATAATAACATGAAAACGGACTATCCGATTTTAACGAAACTTTGTACAACCTATTATATTTACCAAGCCTAAATCAAGTAGGAAGATGGGACTCATTGGTCCATCCCATCAGGTACCTCCCTCACAAAGGGTCAAAATTTTCAATATTTAAAAATCTAATATAAGGCGAATGGAATGTCCAATTTGAACCAAACTTTGCACAACCTATTATCTTTACCAAGCCTAGATTATGTTAGAAAATCGGACCCATTGATCCACTCATTCTGGTTCCTCCTCCACGAAAGTTCAAAATTTCAACATTTAAAAATCGAATTTCAGACGAATGGAATGTCAGATTTGAGCCAAACATATTTGGTATGTTCCCGTACTGCAAGAATCTACTATTTTTTACTCCGATAACACTTTTTTCCTTTATGATATCGAAGAAAATAGTAAAATTGAGTAGATTCTTGCAGTACGGGAACAGACCAATTATCTTTAGCAAACCTAGATCAAGTGTGAAGATAGGACTCATTGATCCACTCCTCCCCCATAAAGGGTCAAAACTTTCAATATTTATATATCCAATATCGGGCAAATGGAATATCCAATTTGAATCAAACTTTGCACCACCTATTATCTTTACAAAGTCTAGATCAAGTCTGAAGTTGGGACCCGTCTGCCCTCTCCTCTGTTATCTGTCCCCATACTTTTTTACTGTTTTTTTGTTATATTTTTCAAAACATTACATACACTGTCACACATTTTGTATACCGATTATATATAACAAGCCACAGTATGAAAAAATTGTAATTTATTAGTTGCTATTGGTCTGTTCCCGTACTGCAAGAATCTACTACTTTTTACTACGATAACGAATTTTCTTTTATGATATCGAAGAAAATAGTAAAATCTAGTATTTTAGTCTAATGGTGTTTTTACACGATATGTATTCTACATATGTGTTGTCACTTTTTTGCATATGGAAATCGAACTCGTCATGTGAAAGATTCGGAAATTTCAATGTGTTAAAACGATATGCAATTACATATGTATTTTTTCCGAATAGGACGCGTTCTATTTTCGTATGTGAAACATAAGGAAATCAGCTGTTTGAATGAAACACATTGTTGGAAGAAAATATTTCAATTGCAAGTCAAAGAAAAGGATGAAAAGGCAACAATTACAAATTATTATTTCGAAACAATAAAAGTGATTTTTTTGTTTATAGGTTATGTCATATGTAAAATACATATGCCGATTTGAACACAAAAATAAATGTTTTGTGTACGCCGCTAATTTTGACACACATAAGGAATTACATATGGATGAAATAAGTGACAGCACATATGTTGTGACAGCCACCTTTGGGCTGGGTATGAATACCCACACATAATTATGCATTGGCCACATTTGAAAACTATCGCTCAGTCGATTATATTTTTTGGGTCACAAAAAAACCACAAACAAATTACAATGAATTTTATTTATTTGGTTGAACTTATCGCTTCCATCAAGAAGTTATAAAAAGGAAAAAGGTAAACAAAATAATAAAAACATCTGTTCGTGTCTACCAGTGTTGTAAAGGGACTCAATTTCATGTTGCGAAGTTACACCATGGTGTAACTACCAATGACTTTCAAACTGTGCCTGATCATAAATTGTACGATCAATCCTCAAACCAAATATGTACAATTTATCGAATGAATCAAATTTTGATTTTTTTATTAAATAATAAAAATAATAATGAATATGATTTATAATGTAGTAAACTACTTGAATACTATTTTGGTATACACAATATACATGTTTACTGCTGAAAACATTCTTACAAGTGATGTAAATTAGCGCCATCTGGAGATTGAACCCAGAACAAAGGATGAAAGATATCGAGATCCACCATGGTGTAACTACCAATGACTTTCAAACTGTGCCTGATCATAAATTGTACGATCAATCCTCAAACCAAATATGTACAATTTATCGAATGAATCAAATTTTGATTTTTTTATTAAATAATAAAAATAATAATGAATATAATTTATAATGTAGTAAACTACTTGAATACTATTTTGGTATACACAATATACATGTTTACTGCTGAAAACATTCTTACAAGTGATGTAAATTAGCGCCATCTGGAGATTGAACCCAGAACAAAGGATGAAAGATATCGAGATCCACCATGGTTGATATTTGAGTGACAGTATATCACTATATTTCCACCATGTGCATTCTGACCTTCATTGAAAGTGACATTGAAGTTACGATTTAGAAAGTCATAGACTGTCAGAGTGAAGGTGATATACTAAAAACCACCACGAAGTACATAATAGCCGTTAAATAAATACAAAAATTCTGTAAAATAATTGGTAAACCAGTGAAATTATATACTGATTTTAATTAAAATCAATTAAAAATACCATCTAAGAGTAGTCATAGCTGACGTTGACAAAATATTTTTGATATTAAAAAAAATTTTACACTCGGGTAAGAATTGTAATAAGTTCGTTAAATATATATATATTCCTTAAAACGTATTATTTCATCCTTCTTAAAGGATATTGTGGTGAAACCAGGATATCTTTTTATCAGGAACAAGCAGTCCTCAGGTTGGTATATATATATTGCAAACCAACTTCACCTGTGGATGGTGAAACCACTTTATCCCGGGATTCTCAATAAATGAGAAAGCTTCTATTATCTAATTCAAAAACCAAGGAAAACCAGATTAAAAGGCTACATTTTTTTTTGATAAAAAAAATTGATACGAGTGAGTACGACAGTCAAAAAAATATAAAATTATGAAAAAGCATTCTGCATAAAAACATATATATATTAAATGAGAAAAAAATAATATTTGTATTCAAATTGATATGTTTAAAAAAATTTAACCAAATTCTACACACCTCACGTGTTCAAAAAAAATAACTGTACAAACAAGAAGAATTGTTCTTAAACTATTTAAAATAAATTGTCGAAAATCTAAAGCGGAGTTTTAGGCGCTTATGATTTTCAATAAAAATTATCCCTGTATAAAAGGTTTTCTTCACAAAATATGTAACATGACACAAAATTTTACTTTTTTGCCAAAACAAGTTTTTTTTATGAATAATAATTATTATGAGTAAAATTAGTAAAAAAATATAAAAACTGAACGAAATTATACATATACATTTATACAAATCAAAAAAAAAAAATTTAGGATTAGTTTGAATTATTAAATATAATATAAAAAAGCATGTAAAAATAAAATATATATAAAATTAAAAAAAATTATAAATATTAAAATTATTAAATAAATTAAATATTAAATAAATTAAGGTAAAATCGCTATGATCAAAACATTATTATAAATAATGTGTAGTATATTTGCTAAAGATTAATAATATATGAACATTTCAAATAATTTAAAAATGGAAATTTAAACTTATATTTAAAATGGGTTGAGTAATTTATTAGGGTAGTGATAATCGTTTTTGGGGTGTTTCTACAGAATTTTTGGCGACAGAAACACCAAGGTATACTGAAAAATGTATATGAGGGGTGGGCAAAGCCAAAGAGGTGTAACATCAGAACCTCATTCAAACTGGAATTCTACCTTGTGTTTATTTTAAATTGAAAGGCTAAGGCAGATATATGTGTACATCCATTTCCTCTTATTTTATTGTTTTCCCTCTTTTTCTTAATACAAACTATGATGACAGTTACAAAATAATCAGAGGTACACAAATTTAAGTGTGCTGTCAAGTGGATAAAGAACTCCCCTATCCGGCGAGCTAAGCCGCAGCCTACCAACATGTACCTACTCCACTTAACCCAGGCAGTCACAATGTAAAATACATATCATGTAAAAACATCATAACCGAACTTTTTAGTAATACATGGTATAATAATAGAAGGTAGCAGCAAGTGTTGTTGTACAACAAACGATACAACAACCACATGGAAATTTGTTTTTGTAATTTATACTAATGTCAACGTCATTTGACAGAAACATGTAAACAAACAAATTATATTTATTTTGAAAATGTAACATTTAAATTGAAAAACATGAATAAAAATCAATTAAAATTTACATTTATATCGCTTCGACGCCCTTCCTATAATTGAGCCATTGCCACTTATATGTGTAACACATATGAAAATGCTGGGAATTGCGAGGTGATTTAAAAAAACATAATTTGTCATATTCATATTGACACTAGTATTACGTCGGAATCAAATCAGCTGGGTTTTGCTGTTACCTTTTATAATTGTACCATGAGAGTATGACATAATTACAAAATATAGTCTCATTTGCGAAATTAATAATGGCAACCTTTTTAATTTGGAACTCATCTATCGATTTCAATTTTTTTGAAAATGTATACTTTTTACTTGATTTTAAGTAATAAATATCTCAATTATTTGATCAACATTGTTCTTAAAATATAACTATAGATGTTACAAACAAACGTAACCCTCAATTTGAAATTTTACAGGAGAAGGTTTTGTTTTAATAAATTCAGATTTAATAAAGCTATTATTTTGAAATATAGAACTATAGTTTTGTTACAAACTAGTTTTGTTTTAAACTATAATTCTAAATTTCAAACTAATAGTTTTATTAAATCTGAATTTATTAAAACAAAACCTTCTCCTGTAAAATTTCAAATTGAGGGTTACGTTTTTTGGCGAATATGGCTCAATATGTCTGCATGAGACTACCTTGTGTAATTATGCTATGGAGAGTAGGGCAATATTACGACGTAAATAAAAACGCTATACGCCTGACAACTTTTCTAAAAGCCCCCAATTACCACTGTTATCGATGACAGCAAATCAGCTGTTAATAAATCGATTATTTTCAGTAGGTGCATGCGGGCCCCCAAAAGAAATCCGGAAAATTTGTTACAAAACATAGGAAAAATAGAAAAAATAAGCCAACATTTAGTCATTTAAAATGCATGCCATTAAACAAGTGCATCTAATCAACAACTTCCGAAATGTTGTTTTGAAAGCTTCAGTCAGAAATGCCTCCATTAAGGGGGTATCATTGGAGTATGATAAAGATCCCCAGCCTTTATTTACCGATCCGGAGACTCAAAAGTTACTTAAATCGGTAACACAATTACAAGTTGAAAAGGTCTTCCGTAAGGCGACGGTACAAAAGCTCACATCCGAATACAAATTTATGACAACCGAAGAATTGGAAGATGAATTTCGAAGGACCATTGAAAGGGCAAAGGCAAAACTGCAAATGCCACCTGTGGTCAAGGTAAAGGATGACACACAAAAAATCATTTCCGAAGACAAAGCCTTGAAAGGATTCTCCGATACGAAATATGTGATAACCGACATTAGTTTTGGTATTAAGCCAACAGAACGAAAAGTTGTGGTACGTGAAACCGATGGCACTTTGCGCTACGCACCCATGGATGTAGCCAAGCGAATGAAGCAATTGTATGTGCCCTTGACGGGACGTAAAATACGTACACCAAAAATGTTCGAAGATGAACACTTCCAACGTTGCTTAGATGAGCATAAATATGAATTCATTCTGGACCGTCTGGTAGTACAATATGAACCTTACGAAGCTGATTATCATCGACTCTGCAGCAAGGTTTATCAGCATTTAAATGAAACCAAAGAATTCGATCAATTGCGTTCTACCCGCCACTTTGGACCCATGGTATTTTTCTATGCCTGGCATAAGTGTATTGATGATCTTCTGTATGATATGATTCGTAGGGATTATTTGCGTAATGCTGCCGAAGTTATTGCCTTGTATTATAAAATTCATAATGTACCGGAAAACTATGGTGAACTGTTGCAGAAACTTGATCAACATACATCGATGGAAGATGTTGCATTGAAGACGCTGAGAAACCCTTTGAGGAAAGCATTGGACAATGGAGATATTCATGATGAAATTGAAACAGCAATTGGCAAATCTGCTAAAGATTTCGAAATTGATGAATTGTGCTTGGGTTTCATAGAACAATTTATAAGTAAACATGCCCTCAAGAAGGTTCAGTTGGAGTTGGCTGTACAAACGTTGAAGGAAATCAATGCCGAAAAGAAACAATTGTACGAAGGATTGAGCAAAGCTCATGGTGTTCAAAGTAATTAATGGGATCGAATTGTTATATGATTGTTAAAAATAAAAAAATATATATAAAATAACAACTATGGATTTCTATTTTGTAGGAAGTTTTCCCATATTGCCACAGGTTAAATTATTCGACAAACATATATTTTATTCTTGAGGAATAAAGTACTTGCCTTTAAAAGCCTTTAGGTATCCTTTCTATTTTCTTAATATATTTTAAAATGGACCCAAGCTTGCCTAATCCATTTTAATAAAAAGAAAAAGTAATATTCTTCATTTAAATACACATGTTTATTTTAGCATTAAATGTAATTACTATACCTAAAACAAAATTCATTAATATTAGCCTATTTTAAAATATACTCGGCAGATGTTTCCTAATTATGAACAGAATTCACTTGACAATTTAAAAAGAATTAAATATGCTATACACTATAATACATATGTAGGTGTAACGAAGAAGACACATTCTAATACTACTTTTTGTTGTTTACAACTATTGAAGAACTAACATTACTCCGTTTTCTATACCTCTTAGCGGAAAATATTTTAAATAATTTTGCACATTTCTTTATGTGCCGTTGGAAAACGAATTTACTCCGATACGATCTAAAGCAGATTTCACATAGATTTCGAGCACTTTTACGTCGAGGTGTTAAAGGGCGTTTTATCATTGTGGTTCGTTTTGAAAGGGTGTGTAGTGTAGAAACACGCACCCGACAAAGTCTGTCAGATTTCATTTTTAGTCCGTACAAACGATTACGATTCCTTTTGGCTTCCGTATAACATTTGGCCCTTAACAGCAAATGCCGTAAAAATTCTTGGGCCGTACAGAAGGCTTTACGGCAAGCCGAACAGTTGTGAACACGATATTTCTTATGTTCATTAATGTGATCGTATAGCTCCAAACGTGATATTGCCACAACTTTGCAAGTTGGCGATACGGGACAACGAAGCAAGGCACGACGAATACGTTTGATATTCTTGCAGTTATGTTTCTTTAAGAGTGCTTCATGGTCCAAATATTGACCACAATTATAGCATAGAACTTTGGGTCCTCTGTGTATTGCCATGTGACCATAGAAATACTTGGATTGCTTACACACTTCACCACATATTAAACATTCCCAATAGTATTCCGTAGATGTTTTGTATTCGGTGGAATTTTCTTTTACATATTTAAGGAATTCCTCCTTTTCCTCTTCAATGGTTACTTCGACAGCCAGAGAAATTTGAGCCTCAGCTTCTTCTTCAAAGAAATAGGCATCATCCATATTACACTGAATGGCCATATCAACTTTGGGAGTTGCCGCATCCGTTTGTTGACTACGATTGACGACTGGAGCTTTCGGATCTGTCATACATTCAGAATCAACCTTTGACACGGCTGTAGGTGGTTGCAAAATCAGCGTTGAAGAATTAAAACCCATATTCGGCAGGACGGGATTAGGCAAGGGAATTGCCACAGTAGATTGTGGCGTGGAAACAGTACTCATAATATTCGAAGCATCCGGTAACATGCTAATATTGTATGGAGCACTCATTCCCATATTCAATGGTGGCTGAACAGTTACAATTTGTTGCTGCTGTGGGCTGATATATAGAGGTGGCTGCAGATTGGCAGTATTTGGTAGCATAGCTGATGTTACAGCCGGTGTTTTGTTTCGTACGCTGACAGTAACCGTCGATGGTATGTTTCTAGTGCCTGGTGCATGTCTAAATTGATTTGTTATTGTATTGGACATTGAATTTGGTGATATTGGTGTTGATGATTCGTATTTCGATAGTTCAACTTTTCCCCGATTTACGTTCATGTAGAACAGCGGTTGGTCTTTCTTGTGTTGGGCTCCACTTCGTGTTATAAATCTAGTCTCTACGCATATTACTTCGGGTAATTCTTTGTAATTTACTTTAAAAAGATCCTTAGAATTTTTCACTTGATTCATTGCGGAACCTATGTTTACTCCGACGCGTGTCTTCCTTCTTCCCAGTGTATTATTGTCCTTTTACCCAAAATCAACAGTGGGTTCACATGTAGCAAAAATGTAAACAAATGAATATTCAAGGTGATACTTGTAGTTTAACGCAAAATAAAAGAACAATTGTCAAAAAATAATAGCAGCATTCCCAAATATTTGTATAAACTTTACTAAATACAAGTTTTTTGTATTAAAAACATTTTTTTAAGGAACCCGTTTCTTTATCTTAACCGATTTGGTACAAACTTTAATTTAATTTTAATTCATTATAGACTCGATCTAAAATTTGCAAAATCTATCGGGTGCCGAATTTGCCCGCATGAGATGCCGAAGCTATCCCGGGTAATAAATAAAAAAAATAACCAGCCGAATGTGCCCACTCTGTCCTATTACATAAACGGAAATATTCCTCTTCATTAATTCATTAATTGACTAGGACTTCAACAACTTGCAGAGGGTTTGGGAAACCTAAATTAGATTCCTTTCAAGGAATTATTGAAAAACCTTAACCTATTCGAAGGTTGTAACGATCTACGTATAATTTTTGGTTAAAAACAAACTATAAACTCGACTACGAATCCAAAATTGGGAGGTTCCTATGAGAGGTGCAATGATATAATTCATGGTACAATTATAAAAGGTAACAGCAAGTCCCAGCTGATTTGATTCCAACGTAATACTAGTGTCAATATGAATTTGACAAATTATGTTTTTTTAAAAATCACCCAATAGGAAAATTGGGAACGCATACAATTCGAAATTGTTCTTTATTAAATGCCCTCACGTATTCATTTTACTCAATATGCCTGTTGGGAAAGTTTGAGGAAGCAAATCCCTGTTCATTGAATAACTCGCAATTCCCAGCATTTTCATATGTGTTACACATATAAGTGGCAATAGATCAATTATAGGAAAGTTGTGGAAGCGATAGAAATATGAATTTGATAGATTTTCATTCATGTTTTTCAAAATTTATTTTGAGAATTCGAAAATATTTTATTTTCAAAATAAATATAATTTATTAGTTTGTTTACATTTTTCTGTCAAACGACGTTGACACTAGTATAACTTACAAAAACAAATTTCCATGTGGTTGTTGTATCGTTTGTTGTACAACAACACTTGCTGTTATAATACGTTTACATTTAACTGGATTTCGTTAACCCAGTGGATTTTAATTGTCAATTCCTTGGCATATATGTCAAATAAATCCTCATAAAGTAGGTTAACCCGGTAAAAAGTTCTAATGTATATGCCGCTTTACCTTCTATTATTATACCATGGATATAATTATACAAGGTGGTATATATTTCTACAATAAAATGTATTTAGCATCTCGCTTACATCTGTTTTTTTAAAGTCAGGATTAATGTATGTTTATTGTTTTATTGAAAACAACTATTCGTTACCATGAGGGGTACCCATCAACATGAGGTGCACATTAAATGTACCTAAAATAGATCGGGACCTACAGACACTGAGGTTGAAAAGTTGAGATAGTACCTGCATTATATCGAAAATGGTGCATTATGGTTAACAAACTGAAATCTTCAAAAGGATGCCGTTACATGGCGAACCCATATATAGATTTTTGTAGGAAGATTTGATACCCAATGTATAAATTTAGAGCCAAAATATAAACTTACAGCCGATTCGGTTGAAAAGTGTGACCAAGTACCAACAATTTGATGGTACAGTTATATGGGGAATATGCCAATATGTCGAATGATACATTCGAACACAATTAATTGAGTATTTCGATATTACATTTGTGTATTTTCTTCTACAAGGGATTTATAAACGAATGTCTTATTTCTCCAACGTATTGTTGCTTTTCATCAGTTTGATGGAAAAACAGAAACAGCATTCTTTTATTCTACATTATAAACCCGGTTTCGCCAAGATTCTACATCACAAATGCAATTCATTTTGCATGACTGCACACAAATGTCATTTGGCACATCTATCAAATGTGAACCTCCTTGCCTCCGTTTTTAGCGCGAAAGTTGCAACTGTACAACAAATTTTTGCATATTATTTTGTATACATAAGATGTGCGGTAACATTCCGCCGTGAATGGCACAGTTAGCGTTTGTTATTGGTAGCAGAGTAGTTTGTGATTTTGTGAAAAGTGTATTTGCATTTTAAGGCGCTAAATAAACAATTAAAATAATACAATTGCGTCAAACATGGATTCCGAAAATATTAACAATGATACGGAAATTGATAATCAGGCCGATGTTATGCGTATTATGATTTCCACCGATAATCATTTGGGTTATGGCGAAAAAGACGCCATCCGAGGTAAGGCAGCAAGCGAATGAACATCAATAGATGCCGCCCGCCTACCGCCGCCTAAACAAAGAACACGAATTACCGGCAACTTTTGTTTTTGTTTATTTTCCTTGGTTTAGGTGAAGATAGTTTCACAGCGTTTGAGGAAATGCTGGAATTGGCCGTGAGGGAAGATGTAGATTTCATACTTCTTGGCGGTGATTTATTCCACGATGCTGTGCCGACGCAAAATGCATTGCACAAGTAAGTAGAACAGAAATTGCTTGCAAATGACACAGGAGTACATGTGTGCGTATACGTTTCAGGTGCATGAAACTCTTGAGGATGTATACCTTTGGTGATCGGCCCATATCGGTGGAGTTTTTAAGCGACGGCAGCCAGAATTTCCACAACGCTGTTAATGAAAGTGTCAATTATGAGGATCCCAATTTGAACATATCTATACCTGTGTATTCAATACATGGAAACCATGATGATCCCAGTGTTTTCGGTGGTCTGAGTACACTGGATTTATTGTCCACCACTGGTTTGGTGAATTATTTTGGCCGCTGGACGGATTTAAATAAAATTGACATTTCACCAATTATATTGAAGAAGGGAGAAACAAAATTGGCCCTGTACGGGCTTAGCCACATTCATGACAATCGCCTTGCACGACTTTTTGAAAGTCGTAAAGTGCATATGCAGGTGCCCGAAGGAGAAGAGGGAGAATGGTTCCATTTAATGGTACTGCATCAGAACCGAGCTGATCGGGGTCCTAAAAATTACCTGCCTGAAGAGTCGTTGCCGGACTTTTTGCATTTGGTTATATGGGGCCATGAGCATGATTGTCGCATAGAACCAGAGCTTAATGCTAAACGGGATTTCTATGTGAGTCAGCCAGGTTCGACAGTACCTACCTCGTTGTCGGAAGGAGAAGCGTTACGCAAGCATGTAGCAGTTTTGGAAATCTATAAAGATAAGTTTAAAATGAGACCGATTCCGCTACAAACGGTGCGACCATTTGTGTTCGAATCGGTCAATGTAGCAGATTTGGCACAGGAATTGCGTTTAGACGAAGGTGATGTTTCGAATAAAGTTCGTGCAATGGCTGAAGAACGAGTTGAAGCAATGTTGGAAAGAGCAAAGGATCTGTTAACAGGTCATCCACGACAGCCTACCATACCGACAATACGATTGAGAATTTGTTTTACCGATGAGGAACAAATGTTTAATGGTATTCGTCTGGGTCAAACATTTAATGATCGCGTAGCCAATCCTGCCGATATGATTCATTTCAAGAAAATGATTAAAAAGGAAAAGAAGGAGCGATCAAATCTTGATAAGGAGGAGATGAAAAATCAGTACAAGAAACTTGTAAGTTTAACTTTTATTTGTCATTAGAAATCGATTTCTTTTTTATTTTGTGCCTCGATTCTGCATATTAATGAACATATTTCACATTTTTAGGAAGGAGAATCTGCTGCTCGGGTTGAGGATCTAGTGGAACGCTACTTCAATGAAGTCGATGAAAGCAAATCACTTAAAATTATTTCCACGAAAGCACTGACAGAATTGTGTAATCAACTTGTGGATCGTAGGGACAATAATGCCGCTGACAACTTAATAAGGTAAATATTGCACTTTTTCATATTTTTTGTAACCCAAATTTAACACAATGTTTTGCCTATTTCAGATCATACAAAGCTAAGGCTGTAGATTATTTAATGGAAAAAATGCCTTTAGAAGATCAACTAGATACTGAACTTCAAGATTTCAAATTAAGTATAACATCAGATGATGTTTTGCATATGTTAGAAACCGTAGCGCCCAATCCCATTACTAAAACATCTAGTTCGTCAGTTGGCAGAAATGCAACAACGGCCAATTATCATGAAGTCAGCGATGACAATGACAGCGACGAAACTCCTTTAAAAACAACACGTTCAACGAAAACCGTCAAAGAGGAGGTATCGACAACAAGAGGCCGTGGCAGAGCACCCAGAGGGAGAGCTGCACGTGGTGGCGCCACTGCAGCTGCAACGACACCCTCAAAAAATGCCGCACGTGCAGGAAATGCAACTACAACAGGACGATCAAAAGCAATGGAAGTATCGCCGTCCACTGTAAGTATTTTTGCAATAAATTCCAAGATTTGAGAAATTAATTTTCATACATACCTTTTAGCGTTCATCACCGCGTCAGCAAAGTCTTTTAAGTATGGGTTTGAATTCAAGGAAAGCTCCCGCTAAACAAAATATCTATGTAGTTTCAGACGATTCAGATTGAGAAGGTCGAATCCGAACATTGTAAAATTATCAGCATGCTTTTATTATTTACTCGAAGTACTTCACTTGTGAACATACCTCCACACCCACACACCACCATGTATTTAATTTACAAAGATTTAATTATTTTTCACAAGTTTTTTTATACATTGATTGATTAACATGTATAAAATTTTAATTAATAAAAAAATCAACGTCATTCCAGTGGAAGAAAAGTCTTATTGTAATTTTATTTTATTGTTATGTGGTGACTGTTGGTCATTTTAAGGATTTAATAATATGATGTATTATTTGTATACCCTCCATCATAGTATGAAGGGTATTAATTTTGTTTTTTCGTTTGTAACTCATCGAATAATCATTTCCGACCCTATAAAGTATATATATTATTGATCAGCGTAAAATGCTATGACCCTAACCTCAAAACGAATTGAGATAGATCGCCAAAATTTGGCATGGAGTTGTATCGGACCGCCCTCATATAAGGTTACCCCGCTCCCCATTTTCGATATTTTGGGGCTCTTGAGCGCGTTTTTCAAACGAATTCGCTGAAATTTGGTACAATGTCTTCTTATTGGGTACCAAATAACTCCACTAACTTAACCCTAACTTACGATATTTTGGGCTTCCTAAGCGCGTTTTCAACCGAATTCACTTAAATTTGGGTACAATGACTTGTTAAAAAAATTATTGGTCTATTCCCGTACTGCAATAATCTACAATTTTTTACTACGATAACGAATTTTCCTATATGTATTGAAGAAAATAGTAAAATCAAGTAGATTCTTGCTGTACGGGAACAGACCATATAAATGTAGGTCCAGTTTTCCGCTTTAGGTCCACCCCAAATAACGGTACCCCAATTTACGATAATTTGAGGGTTTCGAGCGCGTTTTTCAAACGTATTCGCTGTAATTTGGTATTTTGTGGTCGTATTTGGCAACAAATCTCCCTCCCATGTCAGATTACACCCTACAAAGTATGGAATTCTAAAACAATTTAGTCATCTGTCATTGAGATATAAAAACTAGAACGTCGGTTTCGAGAGAGAATTATTGGCATACCGATTTAATATTTATAGTATGTTTACATATAACCGGATTTCGTTTACCCAGTGGGTTTCAATTGTCAATTCCTTTGCATATGTGTCAAATAAATCCTCATAAATTCTAAAAGTGGTGTGCCTCAGGGGTCGGTTTTGGGGCCGCTACTTTTTATTTTATTTCTTAATGATCTTTTTTCAGAGCTGAGTTTTTTTTGTGAACCATTTGCTTTTGCTGATGATGTTCAGTTGTTATTCAAAGGAGACTGTCGTTTTGCATCAGTGTTTCAGTCAATGATGGATTGTGCCATGAAGGTTTTATACGGCTGGGTAACTAGAAACTCTCTTTGTGTTAACTCTTCGAAAACAAAAGCGCTTTTTCGTTTAGTAATAGTTTTGTATCTGTTGTTTATGATGGTAGATATATTGAATTTGTCTCCGAATTGCTGTGCCTTGGGGTGGTCATTGATGATAAATTGAGTTTTGGAAGTCACATTAATATGATTGCATCCCAGATGAATTCATCCCTTCGGGGTCTTTATGCCACGGATTTAGCTGTGCCATTTTTTCTTAGGAAACGATTGGCTTTTGCATTGGTTTTGCCCGCTTTTCTTTACTGTTTGGAAGTTTACTCCGGTTCTAGTTCCTTTAATATGCGTCTCATTCAGTTGGCTGTCAACAGAGTTATTCGGTATGTGTATAGATTGAATACCCGTGCCCATGTCACGCCATATGTAATTGACTTCTTTGGTTGTTCTTTTCATTCTTATGTTGATTCACGTTTGCTACTTAATTTTTTTAAAATGGTTAAGAATCAGTGTCCCCAATTTTTGGTAAGAACATTTGTTTTTTGCTCGTCTACTAGGCGCAATCAGCTACAGATTCCTGTTGTACACCATCGAATGAATGATTCGTTTTTAGTTCGTGTTGCGCGGCTGTACAACGCCTTACCCATTGAATTAAAAAATTTCAGTATTACCCCGATCACGTTTTATAAAAGGCTTGTTCGTCACCTTGTATGATAATTCTTTTCCAATTGCACATTTGTATGGCGAGTATAAAGTGCCATAGGTAAAATATATATTATAGTTATTTTTTAAGAACTCTTTATGTATAGAATTTTAGTTTTATATTTTTTTTTTGGATTTAGTTTGGACATGTCTGAAATGTCCCTTTGTTGGAGTAGTTAATTCATATTGTTAATCATAATGTATCATCTTATTTGGCCTGAAGGCTTTGTATACATGTTATTGTTGAATAAAAATTAAATTAAATTAAATTAAAGTAGGTTAACCCGGTAAATCGTTCTAATGTATATGCCGTTTTAGTGTGAAGAAAGGTATTGTGATACAAACCGAAAATGTTGGGTTCGAAACTGATCTATAGTGGTCCTCAATTATGAATAGCCCCTCATATATTGTTAACTCTAACCTGCAAGTATGTACAATTTACTAGGATACCAAATTTTCCCTTATGATATTGAATAGATTCATGCAGTATGGGGGCAGTTCGGAATGTTCTTAGCCTAGCACAAAAAGCGCGGTATAAACAGAAAAAAGTTACATGTTTTGGACACTTTCATCTCTGTTATGAACACATGTTAAATTTAGTTTCGATCTGGCAGCTCCTTCGTACTGAAACAGGTGCTCAAAAAAGACGCAACCGCAATTTTTACTATAGAAAAATTAGATATGCGTGCTTTCATTGTAAAAAAATGCGGATGCATCTTTTTAGAACACCTGTTTCTATATGAATGACTTGCCAGATCGAAACTATATTTAACATGTGTTCATAACAGAGATTGGAGTTTCCAAAACACTTAACTCGTTTCTGTTTTTTGTGCTAGGCTAAGAACTTTCCGAACTGCCCTCATACGGGAAAAGATCAGATCAAAATTAAAAAAAACAAATACCATTTCGATTAATAGAAGATTATTATAGTTTCAGGATTAGACCATTGTTCTGCTTCCGCAGGAACATTTTCATCCATTTCAGAGTACAAAATAATTCCAAAAGTCCTGGAACGGATAACTAGTAAAAATGTCAAAATAAAAATTCGATTTGAGCCAAATCTTGCACTACCTATTATTTTTACCAAGCCTAGACAAAATCCAAAGATGGAACCCATACTCTCCTCTTTATGGGACCTCCCCACAAAATGGTAAAAATTGTGCAAAAAATTAAATTTATAATATCATGGGATCGGACTATCTCATTGGACAAAACTTTATATAACCTATTATTTTTAAAATGTGTAGATCCAGTAGGCAAATTGGACCCCATTGATCCACTCCTTCTGGTAACTCAATACAAATGCAATTTCAGGCGAATGAAATGTTCGATTTAAATTAAACTTTGCACAAGTTAATATTGGTCTGTTCCCGTACTGCAAGAATCTACTAGATGGAACGGACTATCTCATTGGACAAAACTTTATACAACCTATTATTTTTAAAATGTGTAGATCAAGTAGGCAAATTGGACCCCATTGATCGATTTAAATTAAACTTTGATTAGATTTTACTATTTTCTTCGATATCATAAAGGAAAATTCGTTATCGTAGTAAAAAGTAGTACATTCTTGCATTATGGGAACAGACCATATCTTTACAAAGCCTAGATTAAGTCCGAAGATGGGACCCATTGATCTACTCCTTCTGGTACATCCCCAAAAAGGTCAAAATGTTCAATATTTTTAAATTCCATATTAGGCGAACGAAATGCCCGATATGAACCAAACTTTGCACAATCTATTATCTTTAAAAAGCCTAGATCAAGTTCTCCCCAGAAATGGTCAGTATTTTATAAATTTATAAATTTTATTAAATTGAAGCACATTTGATCAATACTAAATCTGAAAAATATCTTTTATAAAAACCTACCTTATATAAAGCGAATAATAAAACTTGTTGAAATTTCGAAGATCTCCACTAAGGCTGTGAGTATATATTAGGTTGGGAGAAATGAAATCCATTATTTTTCCGGCAGCCATCTGTCGTCGAAAATGTCGATAAAATCGGAGAAATGATCTAAGTTGACCGGCATTTTAGCATCGCCCAGGAGCTAAAAAACGACAATAAATGTTTTAAACCATTTACACCAAAGAAAAAAAAATAATCATGGATTTCTTTCTTTAAGCAGCTTAACTGAATTTTAATTTATTTTGAATCCTACTTTTAGGAAAAGTTATTAGTTCTTTGGCGCATTTTGTATGATACTTGGTCTGTTCCCGTACTGCAAGAATTTACTCGATTTTCCTATTTTCTTCGATATCATAACAGAAAAAAGTGTTATCGGGGTAAAAAATAGTAGATTCTCGCAGTACGGGAACAGACCAACTAAGAGCTCTATTTAGCAATTAAATCGAGATAATCCACATTATCACAATAAATGCTATAGTCTAATTTGTCAATCAGAATCAAAATATTTCACGAAAATGTACTTTAAATATAAAGTGATTAATATAATAAAAAGTTTGCCAGTAAACATGGCCTAAGATACGCTATTAAATGTCAACAATCGATTAATCGCAAGTCGACATATGAATCCCTATTATTTTGTTTTTGTAAAGCTAGACAGACATTCGTAAACATTTGCCGAAAACTTCGTCAGCACTTCACTTCTCCGCTGTGGAGGCAAAAACTGGATATTTTTTACTAGCAGAACAAAAAGACGCTAAAGTGGGAAAAAGTGAGCGGACGGAAATTTAATTAAAGTATTGCGTAAACGAAGATCAAAACAGTAGTTAAACATGTCGAAATTATTGGGTGTTCCCCTTAAGAAACCAGCAGAGGTGGATATTGAGAAGCCCCTCAACAATCTCATCCAATCAACATACAGTGGTGCATCGGCCGAAGCAAAAGAATCCTATAAAGCTGCTGTTCAACAATTTGCCCGGCAGCGTAATTCGGCCATTTGGAAGTTTTTCGAGAAATATGAATCCTCATTGGAGATAGTTTATGCGTAAGTGTGGCGGAATGCATATCCAGCAATGAATGAGGTGTTATTTTGTTTTTCTGATTAGAAATAAGCAGAGTTCGATGCGATGCACGGTGACTCATTCACAAAATAAAGAACAAATACTATGAACCTACTAGGGGGAATGACGTCGCTGTTGTTCGTTTATATGTTTTGCTACTTATAATACCACAGATATTATTAATTAATCACGGAAAAAATTATTCTTGTTATCTTTGTTAATTTTTATAAATAATCTTTTTCTGTGGGCCTTATCTATTTGTATTTTTTCATATTTTCCAGTTACTATGACCAGATTTCGGCTTTGGAAACCAAAATACCAGTCAATGAATTACAAATACCATTTAAATGGAAGGATGCTTTCGATAAGGGTACCATCTTTGGCGGTCGTATCAGCCTAAGTAAGATTAATCATGAGTTTATTGTTGTTTAATTGTGAAAATATTCTAATTGGAATTTTTTGCATTTTAATTGCAGCTCATACCTCTCTGTCTTATGAAAAAGTATGTGTTCTATTCAATATTGCGGCTTTGCAATCGCATGTTGCTGCCATGCAACCAATGGACAGTGATGAAGGTTTAAAACTGGCCATAAAATTGTTCCAACAAAGTGCCGGTATATTCCAGTATTTAAAGGGAGCTGTTCCAGCGGCTGTTCCTTCGGAGCCAACACCAGATTTAAATCAGGATACATTGACAGTATTGCAAGCTTTGATGGTATCACAGGCTCAGGAAGTTTTCGTTATGAAGGCAATAAAGGGTAAGTGAAAATAAAGCGACGTGAGTCATAGTTGCTAATTCCATCCACATCTCTAATTGTATCTTATCAAAGGTATTTACCTCAAACCATCACTTTGCCACAGGGTATTATGTATTTGTGTATATGTTTGAAACAGGCAAAGTAGGAAAGTAGGTAGATACATGCTTCCTATTGAGTATATTCATAGAATCGCTTTCTGAGTCGATTCATGAATGACAGTCCGTCTGTCCATGTTAAATTGTAAACAAAGTTCAGGTCGTATTTATGATCCGAATTGGAAGAAATTTGGCACAGGTGATTTATTGGACGAACCCTATTGAAATTGGGAAAAATTCTTTCAGATTTAGTTATAGCTCCCATATATTTTTGTCCGATTTAATGTAGGCTGTGCTCCAAAGTCCCTATATATCTTTCGATTTCCACGAGAACGTACTGAATTAAGTCTAGAATGATGTGCCTTAAGTTTCGAGAAAGTTGGTTTAGATTTAGATATAGCTCCCATATACATTTTCGTCCGATTTTATGTAAATACTGTACCATGGCCCCCATATTTATTGGATTTGTACGTAATTTGGCATACCGTACTAAATTAAGTCTAGAGTGATGTATGTTAAGTTTCGTGAAAATCGGTTCAAATTTCGATATAGCTCCCATATATATTTTCGTCCGATTTTAGGCAAATAGTGCACCACAGTCCCTATATATCTTTCGATTTTCACGATATTTGGGATAGAGTACTGAATTAAGTCTAGAATGATGTGTGCAAAGTTTCGATAAAATCGGTTCAGATTTAGATATAGCTCCCATATACATTTTCGTCTGACATTTCAGTTTGACATGGCGTATTGCATTGAGTTTAGAATGATGTGTGCTAAGTTTCGTGATAATCGGATCGGATTTAGATATAGCTCTCATATATATTTTCGCCCGATTTTTTGTTAATGGAACACCAAAGCACCTACATTTCTTTCGATTTGCACAACATTTGGCATAGCATACTAAATTAAGTCTAGAAAGGACTCTAAATCTGCCCGAAGGACATGAAATTTATTATAGGTTGCAGAAAGGCATGTGTATGAATTGATGTTAGTCGATTCCCTTATAGGTTCACATATTTATGTGTGTTCAATTTCATGTTAATGTACCTTCGAAAAGGCGACGTCTTTTAGGATACGACGTCGTTTAGGATACGACGCCGTTTAGGTTACGACGTCTTTTAGGATACTACGTCTTTTAGCATACGACGTCTTTTAGGACACCCATAGTCGGCCAAGTCCGACCATATAATATGGTTTAGTAATGTTTAAATTCGTCAGTAATATTGGCGACATTCCTAATAATTCAGCCCATAACTATTATCGCATAAGTTGTCCTGAAATATATTCAAATCATCGGACAATCTACTACAAGATGATTGGAGTTCATAATCGTTAATATATGGGGTGATTCATATATAATTCCTTAAAAATTATGCCTTGCAAACAGCTACCATTATTTGTTAAATTATGTGGTATATATATTTTTTAGAAAACATGAAAGAGAACATTATTGCTAAACTTTGCTGCCAATGTGAAGAATTCTATGCCGATGTTTTGCGTGCCATGCAAAAAGAATCTGTACGTAATCTCTGGGAAAAAGAGTGGATACCAACAATTGCCGGCAAACAAGCTGGTTTCCATGCACTAACACAACTCTATCAAAGTTTAAGCTGTCGCGCTGCAAAGAAAATTGGTGAAGAAATATCTCGTCTACGCAATGCTGTCGATCTTTTTAAGGCAGCACAAACACGTTCTGGCAATCCCACCTATTTGGATGAATATTTCAACAAGGCCAAACGAAATTTGGCCGAATCTGTTAAAGACAATGATTTAATTTATAACGAAATGATACCAGACGTTACTACCCTGCAGCCGACGGGTAAAGCTCAATTGGCCAAACCATTGCCAATTGCATCACCAATGGCTAAAGACTTTGATGATGTTTTCAAGGGTTTGGTACCCGTTGAGCTGCATCGTGCCATGCAAGCATCGGATATGCGTAAAAATGAAATTGTAAATACTGAAATTATGAAACTTCGCGATGCTACGCAAACGTTGAATGTTGTATTGGCTAGCTTGAATCTTCCGGCAGCGGTAGAGACCACTGACGGCGGATCTTGTGTGCCACCATCTTTGATTGAGAAAGCAAACGAAGTACGCGAGAAGGGAGGCATTGATGCACTGAATGCCCACTTGAAAGAACTACCCGAATTGCTTAATCGCAATCGTGAGATCTTGGACGAAACCGAAAGAATGTTGGATGAAGAGCGTGATTCGGATAATCAATTGCGTTCTCAATTCAAAGAGAAATGGACACGCATTGCTTCGGATAAACTAACCGAAATGTTCCGCACCAATGCCAAAAAGTATCGTGAAGTAATAAATAACGCAGTGGCAGCGGATAAAATTGTTCGCGAACGTTTTGAAAAGAACCAAAAAGGTATTGAACTGCTGTCATTGCCCATTGATCAGTTGCAACAGGCAATGCCTGCATCTGGCGGTTCGGTGGATCCCAACTGTGCCAGTGTCCAAAAATTGAAGCAACTAATGGAAGCTGTGGAAACCATTAAAGCTGAACGTGATGTCATCGAATCCGAACTCAAGTCGGCCACATTCGATATGAAAAATGAATTCTTGGAGGCTTTGCGCAAGGATGGAGCCATCGATGAGCCAGCCTTGTCATTAAAACGTATTGGTGAAACATTGCAACCTTTGCAACAGCAAATAAAGGATAGCATTGAACGTCAACAGGCATTGGTATCCGACATACAAATTGCTCACAGTGAATTTGTTTCCGAAACCGGCACCAGTAGCACATCAAGAGATGCCCTCTGTCAAGAATTGGCCACAGCCTATGATAGTTTTATTATACTTTTGGGTAATCTGAAAGAGGGTACCAAATTCTATAATGATTTGACGGAATTGTTGGTGGTATTCCAAAATAAGATATCCGATTTCTGTTTTGCACGTAAAACTGAAAAGGAGGAATTGCTTAAGGATTTGACAACGGAGTCGAGTCGGCAGGCTGCTGGGCCAACACCAACATTGCCATCACATTATGCATCAACATCGGGCAGTGGTAGTGGTAAGAAATTGATTTAAAATGTCCAGAAAAAATCAGTATCAATTGAATTATTTTTTAGATCTTCCATCATCTTCGTCTCCACCATCAACAGCACCATCAGGAAATGTGCCTTATCCACAGGCAGTGCAAGGTATGCCCATGCCTTATGGTGCCACAGCTAACGTACCATATCCAGCGTATGTGCCACCTCCAATGCCGCAAGGTTTTAATCCCTATGCAACATTACCCTATCCTGGCAGTGAGTTTTTATCTAATAGTGTTCTATGGATTTTATATATAATCCAATACTGTATCATACATTTATAGGTTATCAATATCCAGGATTTCCTCAGGGTCCACCACCTGGCCACTATGGCACCTATCCCGGCAGTTTTTCTTCTCAACAACAGGGTGGCTATCCAAATCAAAAACCACCAGGTTGGTAAATCAAGCATTTTTAGCAGCTGGAAATATCCATATATATTTATATATCCATATGATTATGATTGATTTAATGATTGTTTTTATTATTATAAATTATGTAGTTGTCAAAATTTAATTCATTCAATGAATTTTATCATGTATTATGATCAAATCACAAGTTAATTTTTTTTACACAATTCACACAATTCTTTAAAACTGTAAGTTAAAAAATCTCACGAGTTTGTGCTTTTATATGAGACACACAACAACAACAAAAGCAAATACTAAATAATAATAAATGGTGTTTAATTATAGTCTAAATTCGGAAGCAACCATTTAGTGATTTATTATAAGTATACTGAATTTTTTATGTTATTATACAAATATCCATAATAAATACACATACATACATATTTATCCTTAAAAAACAAAGAACAGTATTTTCTTAAATGGGGTATAAGAAGTTCTTGTTGTTGAGGAGTAGTGGGCTAAAGGACTATAACCGATGATGCAGCCTATTAAATGTTCACCTCACCAATGAAAAAACTTACATTATATTTTTATACCATACACCACACTGTGGTACAGGTTATTACGTCTTTGTGCATATGTTTGTAAGAGGCATGAGGAAACGATATAGACCCATGGTTCCTTTTGAAAATATGCATAAACTCTCTTTCTGAGTAGATTTTTGTATGTCCGTCCGCCTGTCCGTTTCTTGATGTTAAATTGTAAACAAACAATGTACAGGTCGCATTTATGATCCGATTTGGATGAAATTGAGCGCAAGACACTTATTTGGCCCAAGGACGAACCCTATTTAAATTGGAGAAAATCGGTTAAGATTTGCATATAGCTTCCATATATCGTTTCGTCCGATTTTATGTAAATGGTGCACCAAACTTCCAATATTGGTCCGATTGAGACAAAATTTTGCACAGCGTACTGAATTCTGTCCAGTTTGACGTCATTGAAGGTTTGTTGAAGTCGGTCCAAATATAGATATAGCTCCAATATATATTTTCGTCCGATTTTATGTAAATGGTGCACCAAACTTCCAGTATTTGTCCAATTCAGACAAACTTTTACACAGCGTACTAAAGTAATCCCAGTTTGACGTCTGTGAAGTTTTGTTGAAATCGGTCAAGATATAGATATTTTCCGTCAATTTTATTTAAATGGTGCACCCAACTTTCTATATTTGTCCAATTGATACAAAATTTTGCACAGCGTACTGAGTTATGTTCAGTTTGATGTCTGTGAAGTTTCAAATTTATCGGTTCAAACTTACATATATCTTCCATACATAATTTTGCTGGATGCCATAGAAATGTTACACCAAAAAATCCATGTATGTCCGATTGATTTGCAATTTTTCATAGATTTCAGAATGATCTGTGTATGGTTTTTTCATTGATTCAAATAACTATTTTTCGCCCTATTACATTTCAATGGTCCTCCTAACATGCCATGTCTCTTCTATCTAGAGGATATTGTACATTATCATCTCTTGTATATACCCAAAGTGGTGAAAGGTATCATATAGTCGGCTACGTTCGACTTTTGATCTTTCCTTACTGGTTTATAAAAAGAATATTAATTTTTTAATTATTACTTTTATTTTGTTTATTATAACGATTTAACAATTCCACTTTAATAGCATTAACAACATTAGGACTACATAAACTATTAAGCATAGCCTCTTGGATATGACTCAAGGAATTGTAAACACTATCCTGCTCATTTTGCAGCAATGATTTGGAATGGTAGCGGGAACTTTGTCTTCTCAAATATTCCACCCACTCATCATCAGCTATTATCGGAACTTCAAATAAATTTCTAATTGAATGTTTTATAGCTGTGAATTCCGATTCATTTAAATAATGATATCGATGGGATATGCCGCTTTTCTTAGCATCCTCTTTGTGCACATCTTCAGAAAGCTTTTGCTCCAAAAGGTATTCTAAAATATTAAATAACTCTTCGCTTTTGGCAATAGCTGAAAGCTAACGATTAAAAATAATTAATTTAAAATACACTACTTTATTCCGAGCTGATTTGTCTCACATGATTTGGGTTCATAACGAAAGATTTTATGTCATCACTGGAATTTCTTATGAATGTTTCCATGATATGCTTAGTTATACATTCTTCAATTTGATTGTCTATATCACAGGTAAGTGGTATCCAGGCATTTACATTCAATGATATTTCTAATGCCTCAACATAATGCCACCAATGCCTGGGTACTATCAGTACATCATTGGGTTCAAGAATACATTGGTAGGATTGTCCTTTTAACTGCTCGAGTTGTGTGAATTCTTTAGAATTCGGTGCATAAAAGTTTTCTTTGCAATAAACACTTGATTCTTCATAGGGTATACGGGTTGGAGTTAAAACTGTATTGCTTGGTGGAAATAATAGCCAAGATTTTCTAAAAGAGGGAATCAAATATAAATAATTGGTTAATATGTGGAAAATGAAATCAATGTGATCCTAGATATACAAGTCTATCATTGCTAAATTTTAATTCCATCGTCTATTAATTGCTATATTTTAAATCCATTGGAAAATAGTGTTTTTTAAATGTGTGCCTTTACTCACCTTCCAAACACCTGTACAACAATATTACAGCCATAGGTGTCATAGTGACAGGGAGTGTTGGCCCCTTTGGAACTCAACCAGAATGTACAATCATCTGTGGCATGGGGAAAACCGAAACATCCAAAATCAACACCCTTCGAACACTCCTCAGGAATATCATTCTTCCGCTTATAATTTAGACCAGACCAATAGTTACGCTCGCTGCTGTGGTCGTGTAGAAACTCCGTAGCTGATATTCTTATTTGTTGTCTTTTTCGTTCCCATTGTGGTTCGCTGGATTCTCCCAAAGCAATTCTTTCAAATTCCGGAGTTTCTGGACTATGTGCATCATACAATTCACACCATTTGTCCAGGCCATTTTCAAAACATGTCCACTGATGTTTGAAATTCTTTAAAACTATTGGTTTTCTAGTATTCAGGATTAGTTCTCTTAAATTTAAGGGATACAATTGTTGGTCCATTTTTTTCTTTCCTTTGAAATTAAAAATTAATTTTTGTTAACCGGATGCCGGATTTGATTTTGTAAAACTTTTTGAATTACAATGCCAGATTTTTTTAAATCGTCGGCAAGAAATAGAAGACCAAAACAAAACTGATAACCCAGAATCAAAACAAATCTGATTAGGGACATCTAGGTTGAAAATCGGACAAATATTTCCTGAAGGTCGATAAGTGAAGCTTTTGCAGTGATTTTAATTTACGAAATTCAAATAGATAATGTATTATTCAGCATTTGCCGTATTCAAATCAAGACATATCAAACATATCATATCAGCACAACCCACAAATCCCACACACTAACGAACCTATTAGAAAAAAATTAATATTTCTATCACATCTACATATGGTTCCAACCGAATTGTTACAGCAACAAAGATTTTTCAAATTTAAAAAGTAGAAATCGCAAGCAGTATGATGCGTTTTAGAAGAAGTGCAATAAAGAACGTTAAGTTACGGATAAAAATTGTGCCAGAATTGAACGAATTTGTCTGATTCACTCTTCTCTTCTCTTCTTGTGGATGATCACAACGGACCTAACCGGTCTCAGAGTGCTGGAGTTACATATGTGACTGCACATCCCCAAAACTAACCTAACTACGAAAAAGGTAATTTGAAGATTTGGGTGATAATCAAATACCCAAGTTTCTCTAACATGATCATAGAAATACCGACTGGATCTCTGCCTCACTGGTTGTGAATGATGGGAGCTACAAGTCTTCTTTCAGATTCTGCGGATGGTTTATCGCATAATCCCACTCTCGATAAATTATCGGCTGAAATGTGATGTACGCTTGTATTTGTACTCAGAGTTAGTTAGAAGTAATATTTCCTCTGAAAATCCGCTGGATTTATGAATAGGATTTACTTGGCGTATGAGATTACAAAATGACCGTTATAAACGTACATTATGCTGGAAGTACTTCTGATATTAGCGTTTTGGTATTGTCAGCTCCTAAAAATCTTGTTTCTATTTTCTTGTATATCATTATTCTTAGCAAAATGTTTTAATTTCATCGGTGCCATCAGAATTGGGAAGAGGAAAAGTATCATGGTGCAAAAGACATGGGTACCATCGACGGTGATCGTGATGACACTCGGCCTTTCGTCACTCCGGATCTGGATCTCATTAGCAAGGTGACCGGATGGTATTATACCGGCGATGCTTCAATATGCCTCGCCAAGTATTTATCTGATTCTTGAGAAGATTTACACTGCGTGTCTGACTCTCTCGTATGTTCCGGATCTATGGAACGAGGTAAAGGTTACTTATATTCCCAAAGCAGGAAAACCAAGCCACTCTGTACCAAAAGACTATAGACCCATTAGCCTATCATCCTTTCTCCTCAACTGACTGATCAATCTGGAGATAAGGAGTCGTATAGACACCACCTCTCTTAGCAATTCACAGCACGCATACATAAAGGGCAAGTCTGTGGAATCTGCACTGCACGAAGTGGTAGGCTACATTGAGAGGAACATGGAAAATTCAAATTTTACGCTGGCTGCCTTCTTAGATATAGAGGGAGCCTTTAACCCTACAGTTAATAACCGGGTACATTTGTACCTTTTTTTTAATAAAAATTCTGTAAAATTTTTAATAATGGAGATACTTGGATCAAATTTTGAGGAATCATTCTTGAGGTATTTTCACACATAATCGAAGAAAAAAATTATAAATATTTTCCATATATATAATTTTTACAATTTTTTAAAGTTATTACCTACGTAGATCAATAACCGTGGTACATTTGTACCCATCCAAAGATAGCTCTGTAACTTATTAAAAAATTGGACTATCGTGAGGTTTTTTGTTTTAAATTAGTCTATGCGGATCTGGTCTAGATGTAGGAACTCAAAATTATATATACATTAAAATAATATATATTTAAATCCATGCTCAAATGATAATCTATCTAAAACAATCATAGTAAATTCGTTATAGCTTTCGAATGGGTTAAGCTTTTTTAGTTATTTTAGTTATTGGGATCTTATTTAGGTGTTCCTCAACCTCTCTGCAAATTTTTGTGGCCCTAGACAACGTGGGGCCATCAGGGCGACTCGTGGAAAGCAGAAACTACCCTGGTTTTCCCTTGGTATACAGGGACAAAAACAATGATTTTTGTCCGTAATTATCCAATTATTCTTCATATTGGGCCTGACACTTTTTCTATATTCGAATTAGTCTGATTTATTACAATCGTAAATTGGCGTAAATATATAAACTATCATTAAATAACATTTTAAAGTATTAAATAGTGTTAAAAATGTGCCAATCACAATCTCTAAACTCATAAAATGTGAATAATTGGCAATAATAATTGTTTCAGTCCCTGTATACCAAAGGAAAACCAAGGTAGTTTCTGACTTCTACGAGACGCCCTGATGGTCCCATGTTGTCTAGGCCCACAAAAATTTGCAGAGGGGTTGAGGAACACCTAAATAAGATCCCAATAACTAAAATAACTTAAAAAGCTTAACCCATTCGAAAGCTATAACGAATTTACTATGATTGTTTTAGATAGATTTTCATTTAAGCATGGATTTAAATATATATTATCTAATGTATATATAATTTTGAGTTCCTATATCTAGACCAGATCCGCATAGACTAATTTAAAACAAAAAACTTCACGATAGTCCAATTTTTTAGTGAGTTACAGAGCTATCTTTGGATGGGTACAAATGTACCACGGTTATTGATCTACATATACTTTTTTGGTTATTGACCGTAGGGTTAACAACGTTAAACTTGAATCCATCTACGTCTACGATCTCTGAGCTTATGCAAAGAGCCTTACTGACGCTGTCACGTTGGGCCAGGGCAAATGGTCTTGGTGCAAATCCAACGAAGACGGAACTGGTAATGTGTACTAGGAAGCGTAAGCTCCGCGTTTTTGTTCCACCAACATTGGATGGAGTGCAACTTCACCTATCCCCCGAAGCAAAGTACCTCGGCACAATCCTGGACTGTCAACTACGATGGAAAAGGAACGTTGAGGAGCGTGCCAAGAGAGGAATGATTGCACTCTATGCATGCAAGAACTCTATTGGGAAAAGCTGGGGGCTAAAACCATCGACTATACACTGGATGTATAACACTGTGGTGAAGCCCATCTTGTCCTATGGCTCTCTTGTTTGGTGGAACTGTCTGAGCCTCAAGTCGACATCTAGTAAATTAGACAAGGTACAAAGAGCCGCCGCGATTTTTGTTACAGGAGCCAGAAGGAGTACGCCACAAGCAGCTTTGAACGCAATGCTGTATTTCAAGCCTTTGGGCCTCAGCATTAAGTGTCACAAAAACTCTGGCGGAACTGTACCTGTACGGTCTGGCTTTCTATACAGACGGATCCAAGATGGAAGAAGGCACTGGGGCAGGCGTCTACTGAGAAAGGTTAGGCCTTGAGTTAACCCACAAGCTGGATAGCAACTGCAGTGTTTTCCAAGCTGAAATCTTCGCGATCTGGAAGGCAGCAGAATTGATAAAAAGTCTGGATGTTGAGGTCGTTGAACCGGTGACTATCTTTGTGGATAGTCAAGCGGCTCTTAAAGCCATCAAATCTTGTCAAATCACATCCGAAGCCGTCCTCAAGTGTAGAGCAGCTCTGGAAGAACTTAACCATAGCTATCGATTGTGTTGGGTACCAGGACATTGTGACATCTTGGGTAATGGAAGAGCGGACGAACTAGCTAGACGAGGATCTCAATCCACCGATCTAGAAACTGATGACTCAATCAAACCAACCATATGTTTTTTCTATAGGAATTTTGAGGCATTCTTTGACGAAACAGCCTGTGAACTTTGGCACAACGAACCTAGGTGCAACGTGTCAAGATCCATTTGGCCGACTCTGTCTACCAAAAGAACGCGCTCACTATTGAACCTGAGTAAAGCCGAAATTAGAGTGGTGACAGGAATCATCACTGGTCACTGCAACATCAGGGCCTTTACTAGTAAATGGGATCTCGATGCAATTGATTACTGTAGACTCTGTGTTGACGAGGAGGAGACGGAGACAATTGAGCATCTCCTGTGCCAGTGCCCAGCCCTGGCGTACAGGCGACACAGACTAATGGGTGCTCATTTTCTACCTAGTCTCAGCCTCTTCTCAACAACCGAACCTGCTCTAATCTACAGCATAATTAGAAACATAAAGTGGTTAGGAGCATACAACCTTGGCACGTAACACTTTTTTCTGTCTGACTCATAGGACCATCGACCATCACTCCTTTAATTCACTAATCTTCTCTCCCCTACAGATCTATCTCTTGTCTCTTCACGTCGCTGTATCTCTTCTTGTGGATGATCACAACGGACCTAACCGGTCTCAGATTGTTGCAGTCACACATGTGACTGCACATCCCCAAACCTAACCTATGGTGCAAAATCAATGATATTACGAACTGATTCGCATAAACGGCTCCTAACAGGAATTCATGATGCATCACGCCATCGCAGTCAAACAAAACAGCGAGGAAAGCCGTAACATTTGACTAAACTTGACTTACTATTTTTGGTCTTTATTCGGACGTTTAAATAATAAAATTATAATAGTTCCGTTCCAGAACCTAAAAGAATCTACTTAATTTACATGGTTTGCAACCTTTTACTCGAAAACCGTTCCTCAAACCCACAAAACTGGTAAAAAATTGAATCACATTTAAGAGAGCACAAATCAAAATGACGTTCTCTTTGTAAACTTTTTACTCGGGAAATTTGGCCGAGTAAAAATGGTAAACAGGAATGCCTACTTCTGGTTGGCTGTTATGTTGATTTTGAAGTATTGCCGTCAAATTTTGGCATATTTACTAGATTTGCGTTCCCGAACTATTCAAATTATTTTGTACTCTGAGAGAAATTTTGAAATGTTTCCCTTTTACTAGATTTACTATTAAAATAGTACTGGAACAGACCAAATATATATTTATATATATTCAGATGATTCGTTGTTGTTGGTATCCT